GTTGAATGGCAGTTCGAGAGTGTCTCCTAAGCCGCCGCTGGTGAGGGACGGATCTGGAAAGGGCGCGGACAGAGACTGGTGGAGGAAGAGATCGTCGCTGGCCGCCGGCGAGAGCGAGGGCAGCGTCTCCGGCGGAAGCATGACGAGCAGCGGCAGTAGCAACAGCACGAGCAGCAGGTATCAAAATTCGATGAACCGAATATTTTAGAACTCCAACCGAATTGTTTATCAATCCTGACAAAATGAAACAGAAACCAATTTGTTATTCAAATTCAACTAACTTAGGGGTCGGGCAATAATTGTTTGGTGGTTGGAATTTTGGGTGACAGTCTGAACTTGGATTTCTTATTCTACACGTTTTTTGGCTCTATATGATGAATCAATTTGGTTCAAGAGTAGCCAAATTGGGGTTAATAATTCATGAGTTTTGACTCTGTGTTGTCTGGATTTGGTGAATTTGATGTGCAGGAATGCAGAATCTCAAGGGAGTTGCTGGTTTTGTATCAGTCCAATCAGAACTAAAGATCCAGAGTAAAAAAAGGCTACAATTACCCAATCTTACTATGTAATAATCTCCTTTGAATAATGCTTTGGTATAATCCCACTAAATCACAGCTGAATTTTGCAGCTAAGCTTGTCTATATTTTTTTTGTTTTATTACTTTTTCTTTTTGGAAAAAAGGAGGATTCCTTGTCTTGTTCGTTCCTGATCTCTTTCTTCATTAGTATTTTAATTTCCATGTTATATATATGTATGTATATTGTTAACCAAATAATTTACTTGTTTCCTTTTTTCAGTTTTCCTGATTGTTATTAGTACTAATTAAATAGTTTGGTATTAGATATATAGAGTTGTTAATTAGTAATCACTATTCCTACATGAGTTTGAATTGTCTCTAAATAATGATTGAAGAAATAGAAAAATGGGTAGTCTGTATCCGCGAAGTCTTCCTTTAAAAAAAGTATGAATACAAAACATGCCCAACATGGCCCGCCAAAAACTATCCCATCGTCACTACGTCCGGAAAATTTTATCTCTTGGCTTCATTTGTGGACTTACACTTAGATAATATATTCCAATGGTTTAAATTTGAATTTTCTTTTCTATTTACTAGAAATCAGTTTTATTATTATTATTATTATTATTATTTTTTTAACAACATGTGGGGTGGAGTTTGAAACCGCAACCTACCATTAAATTTTGTAGGATCAACATCACATTCTTCTATTTGTATAATGAAAATGAATAAAAAAGAGCTTATATTTAATGTACAACAGTGAATAAAAAATTTAAGTTAAAGATAGATTGAGACTGATTTTTTTGCTATCACAAGTTTACATTATGATTCGTATTAAGATCTATCAGTGAAAACTCAACGGATAAAGTTCAATTTATGAAAAACGATGCATGATAGCGAATAGAAAATCTAAGTAAAGATAGACCAAGATTTATTTTCTGTCATCACAAGTATGTATTATAGTTTGTATTAGGGTCTATCAGTAAAAACTCTAACGAATATAAATTTCAATTTACTCCAAAGATTTTCTTTCCCAATTCAAAATTCTCTCCCTCGCACTTGTACTGAGACCATACGACTTGGGCCAATTATCCTTGGGCCGAGCGTTGCGGCTGAAGTGATTCTCAATGGGCTTACGAGTGGCGAAATGGCACCGTTGCGGATCCGACCCGGAGATCCAGTTTGGCTTCCGGGTTGGCGTTGTCGACAAGTCTACTACGGCATCCATGTCGTAGACTGGCAAACGAAGTGGGGTCCGGTGGCCGGTTGGTCTACGTAAGACCGTTCTTCTCCAGCAAGAAAGACGCGGTTTTCAGGCCGAAATCCACATCAGCCCTTGCCCAAGTCTCCGCCATGGAAACTCCGACAAAGTCAAACCCAGAGACCCAACCCTGTACCAAGGAAGGAAATTTTGGGAAGACTTTGTGACTGTCATCTGACCTCGCGTGGGGCGATAATAACTATATTGCTTCCATGATTCTGAATTTTGTTTACTAAACCCATCTTTTTGCTTTCCTTGTCGCGATATGCCAGATGGGAATTGGACTCAGCTGTACGTTTTAACTCGCCGATTAGCAATTTCCCCCTTGGCCCTTCCTTTCATTCTTTTCTTTATTCCTGGGTCTGTGTGAAAATTCAAAGTTGGCTCTGAAAAAGAGAAGAGTCCCAAACTAATCAAACAAGCAACCCCTCGACGAAGAAAACCCAAAAAAGAAAGAACACGCGCGCACAGTTCCTCCCCACTTTTTCCTACTCGTTCTCCTGTTGATTCTAGGCAGGTATGCTTCATTTGTGAGCCCCGACCGAAGTCTCTTTTCTCAATTCCATCCATTTCTTTTGATCTCCACGTGAACTTTCAGATTGTGGGTCTATCTCACAGGGTAATTTTAGCTTTTACTTTAGTCTTTCTGCTTTATGGTTCCATTCCTGTAAAATGAACTCACGGGATTTTACTTTGAGTAGATAATGGAACTATTATGGTTTATGTGATGATTTTTATGTGGGCTGTCGCCTGGATCATCTGTTGTTTGGCTCACATTCGAGTCCGCCCTCTTCTTCTTTATTTGCGAGGAAATTGTTGATGGGGATTCTCCTCGTGTTAATCCTAGTTCAGATTCATATGCATAATCACTTAATATTTTTCCCCTTTTCAGAATTGCTACTTTTTTAAAGGTATAAAGGGAGGGTAATTGATGGCAATGATTTCTGATAGACTTCTGTTCCACGATTGGACTTTGTTTATTTCACTTCCTAAGGTTACTTTTCCAGCTGAATTTCATAAATCCTGCTGGATTTTGTTTCTCAGGAGATTCAAGGACGAAATACCTTATTAGGGTGTAATAGATTCAGAGGAACATGTCTACCAATGCTGCTGCTTGTGCCGAGAGAGCAACAAATGATATGCTTATTGCTCCCGATTGGGCAATAAATATTGAGCTCTGTGATATCGTTAACATGGATCCTAGGTAATCCCAAAACTTCTCTACTTACTTATATTGGTCGTTTCCTCCTGTTAAATCTTTCAATAGCTCTGGAACTTCTAGTTTCCTTTTCTCCTAGTAATTGTAATGTTCGTTTGTAATGAACATCTATGAATCGTTTACACCTCCTGTGGCGAACTCGAAACCAAAAGAAAGCAGGTTGTTGTTGCTTACAGGGTTTCTTTTCCATTGATTTTTTTGGACTCATCTCATAATTGTCTGCAGTTGTAACAGATTGCAATCATAACTATTCTCAACCGGATATGAAATATCTGTTATTTTTTGTACTTTTGATTGCTGACTTTGGTTTTGAAATTGAAATTTTTAGGCAAGGGAAAGATGCATTGAAGATACTCAAGAAGCGTCTAGCTAGCAAAAATCCCAAAACACAACTTCTAGCTCTTTATGTAAGTTTTTTGTAGTCTTTCTCGTCTTTGTAGAATGTTTACCATAAACAACATGTCCTTAGATTTCTGGGTGTTGCTGTTTTTGTAGTAATAACCAATTGCCAAAAGTTAACTGTTAGTATGATATTTCCAAAAGGAACGTTATATATATATAGGTATGTTGAAAGTCAACATTCTAACCATGCTATGTTTTTTTCAAAACACAATTGATCCAGGCATTGGAGGCTCTAAGCAAAAACTGCGGCGATAATGTTTTAAAGCTGATTGTAGATCGTAAAATCCTGCACGAAATGGTTAAAATTGTAAAGAAGAAGGTATTTCACTAAGTTTGATATGAATCTAATATGTGTTGACTGTTGTTTAGTGCTCGGTTATGACAAATCTAGACAGGACAGAAGGACAAACAGTTTAATGTGTTATTTCATTTCAACTCAGCAGCCCGATTCAAATGTACGGGACAAGATATTAACTTTGGTAGATGCATGGCAAGAAGCATTTGGTGGTGGCTCCAAGGGAAAGTATCCACAATACTATGCAGCGTACATTGAGTTGAAGGCGAGTTATTTTTTGCTTTGATATGTATATTTTTCAAACATTTGACAGTGTGTAGAGAATTTTTTTTTTTTTAAATTAAAGTTTTCTCATTATTTATATCTGCTGTTGGATTTGGTTTCTGTAATACAGAATGCTGGCTTTCAATTTCCACCAAGAGAAGAGAATGTTGGGCAGTTCTTTAGTCCACCTGAGATACAGCCAACTTTAGAGGACCCTGTTTCGGCTTACGATGATTTTTCTGTGCAGGCCTCTCTCCAGTCTGATGCTTCTGATTTAAGGTAAAGTTTTAATTCCTGTTGGACCGATTTTACTTTTTGGCCTTTTCTTTTTGACAAAGCAAGGGCCAAGGGTCTATTTAGTGTTCTCAGTAACTTATCTTCATCACATGTTTCTATCCTATGTGTCTATCTTCATTCTTCTTTCTCAAGTCTAGTATTTTATTTTCGATTTTCCATTGCTTCCCCGGGTTCGACTCTGATTATGATTTGAATTTAAACAGCTTGCCAGAAATTCAAAATGCACAGGGACTATCAGATGTTTTAATGGAAATGCTTGGTGCACTGGACCCTAAGACTCCGGAGGTATTCTGTTTATAAACATCTTTATGTGTTCCTTTTCTTTTTCTTATACTGAATGGAGAACTTTCAAATTTGAAATGTCATCTGTAGATAATTTTAGGCATTTTGACTTGATTCAATATTAATTCTCCACAAACCGTTAGGAACGGGACTGAGGGAATCATTCATGTAGCTGAACTATGCATATTTGGACTTGATTTCAGTTGGTGAAATGAAACATACTACACAATACTTCCCTTTTTGTTATATCTTTTGACTTGATCATATTGGCAGGCTTTGAAGCAAGAAGTGATTGTTGATCTTGTTGACCAATGCCGTTCCTACCACAGCCGTGTCATGATGCTTGTGAATGAGACCACGTAAGATATCGTGTCAGCTTTATTTATTTCCTGTTGGCTTAACCTTTGACTCATGTCGTTTGCTCCCATTTCAGAGACGAGGAACTTTTATGTCAAGGGTTGGTGTTGAATGATAGTCTGCAGCGTGTACTTAGCTTCCATGACGACATTGCAAAAGGAACATTAGTGACAGCAGGTAGAAGAACAGAACCTTCTGTTCCAACGGTTCCCTATATGAACCCTGAAGATGATGAGTCGGATGATGATTTTACCCCATTAGCTCGCAGGTGACTACAATGGAGCCCTGTTTCCTCGATCAATTCTTTGATAAGTAGAATGTCACTGTAACTGTTATACATAAATTGCAGGTCAACGAGAGATCACATTTATGAAAGGGACAGGAAACTGTCGAATGGTCAATCATCCCGAGTTAGTCCACTTCCTTCACCCTCATCAAAGAAGGCGATCCGCGTGGACATGATTGATCATCTGAGCGGCGACACGTACAAACCTCAAGGATCTCCAAGGACAGCAGAGCCTCCATCCTATCCACCTCCAGTTTTCCCACCTTCACCAACAACTTCATCTACCTCACCTTTCCACACTACTAGGCAGCCTCTGTTCGACGAACCACCTCCAAGAATGATATCCACGAATCCACTCCGGGACACCCAATCTCCGGGCTCGCTCCCTCCCCCACCCTCGAGATATAATCAAAGACAACAATTTTTTGAGCAACAAAAAGCTGTTACAGGAGGCAGTCTGCCCCATTTGGGCAACGGTACTTATGGTTCATCTGATGACAACATAGTGGGACAAACTAAGAATCTGTCGCTCGGTCCTTCCACTCCAACCAGATCCGCAGACCATGAAGAAGCCCTTTTCAAAGAACTGGTGGATTTTGCCAATACCAAATCATCTCCATCATCAAAACCCAGCCGACCATTCTGAGACACGAGTAGCGAAGACTGATGATGTTTTTTCTTTGTTTTTGTGGTTGTAGACAGGTGATGTGGTTCCTTTGACGAGGCTGATGTATATTCATGAACAAAGTATCCATTTTGTTTTGTAGTAGAGTTAGAATTTGTTGATGTTGCTTTGGATGGGTTGCATATAATATATATTCTATTAATTTAGTATATCTGTTTTGTTTAATGAATAATATTTAGGTTTAATTATTAGATAATGAGATATGCTCCATATTTTTGTTAAAAATAGAAAAAAACAAATATCTTTCTTCTCTGACGGTCAATCGATTGTTGATTGGCCAAATGCTAAATAACAATGTTGCACCCTTTCACGTTCCTTCGATGTAAATTTTTTATTTTTTAAAATGCCTTAAATCTTGATGAGTTTTTAAAAACAGTAGGTTTAAGATTTAAGATTTAAATCGGAATAGGGAATTCTCCCTGCCCCGTCATTTTAATAATTTAAAAAAAAAAATTATTTGTTATCGAAGATTTAACTAAAAAATAAAAAGTAGCTATGAGTAGAATTCGAAAATCGTATTCCTTTTTGTATTTAGATATGAGGGAGAATTTTTTGGAGTAGGTGGGATTTTGTCATAAAAGGAATAGGAAAAGGAAACTGAATTTGTATGTGTATATATACAAAAACTCTCCTAACAATTCTATCATCAATCATCAATCATCAATCATCAATCATCAATCATCAATCATCAATCATCAATCATCAATCATCAATCATATCATAGCTCTAATATAATACTAATTTGTTCATTAAAAATGGAACGCGGCCGTGCTCAGCTTGCGGAGCTGATACTTCCGGAGTCGGTGAGAGGCAGTTCCACAGAAGGCAACGGAAGCGGATGGTCCCTCACTTACGATTGCTTCGTCTGCACTTCCGCCGTCCCCCATTGGGCAGGCCGCCACGCCGACAAGCCCAATAACGGCTTCCTCATTCGCGTCCAAAACTTCCACGTTGTGGACCCACTCTACATGCCACCTGGCAACCACATGGTCCTGGATTCCAACTTCCAACTCCTCCACTTCCCGCCGGCCCACTTCTCCTCCTTCTCCGCCG